CGGACACGAGTGAAAGAGCCGTGCCACGCTGCTGTGAGAAGTGACGATGGAGAGTTGTGAATTATTTGATTTGCCACTCTGTTTCGTTGCAAGAGGACAAATCAAATGGCTTCGCCGTTGTACTGGTCAAGTATTTTCGGTTCGCCATAGCTGCTGAAGCACACAGCAGTAGAGCGCCGATGAGCGAGACATGTCGACAGCAAACGGTGAATAATATTTCAAGAGTTTGTCAGTCACGGAGAAAACATCGCAAAAAACGCCTTGCTGCTGCCTCGCTGGTGTAGTTTCCACATCTACAGCGCACATGCACATCCTTCCTTCCTTGTCGTCGCGCACGGGAGTTCGCGCGCGCCGCTGCCGACTTAGCTCACTTCAAAACAGTCTAAGGTAGCACAATATTGGCCGATTTTGACAATCGATGCCTCAAAATATTCAGTAGATGCTAAGCTACAGTTCAACTGAAGCGATTTTTTTCTTAATCAAGGGATCGCTGTAGAGCATGCACGGACTTTGTGACAATATCTTTAGTTTCCCCGGGCCAAAATCAAAAATTCATTCGGTTGATCCCCTAGTTCACATCTTGCCTGGTTCCACCCAAATTTTCAGGGTTGTATTGTCTACCTGTGCTACCTTACTCTATTTTGAAGAGGCATGTGTCGCACTGAAAATGCGCTGCGAGATGGCTACAGTTTGTGTACAAGGTGTGGTCGAGCTGTGGTCGCGTGACAGTCAAGCTGTCGTCGCGTGAGCTGGCCAGAAACAAAATGGCGCCCACGTATTTGTACACAACCGTGAGCCCTGGACTTGGAAGGCTCTAAGTTATAATTATGATAACATAAGAGTGGAATTGTCATTGGGCATTATGGAGTAACTTGTAGTTGTGTACGTTTCTCGTTGGCTGAGTATTCTAAAGAAACGAGAAGCAATGTTCTATCGAACTTCGAAGTGATGTTATCATTGTTGAGCGAGCGCTGTGAAACAAAGCTTGCGAAAAAAACATTGTCCTTCTTTTTGTCTTGCTTGTCAAGGGCCCACCCACCCATTCTTTTTGTCTTGCTTGTCAAGGGCCCACCCACCCACCCTATGTACTGTAAGACCAGTAGTGTTAACGAACATACACTGACCGACGCGCATCCAAGATGTGCTAGAGCTGTTAGCCAGTTAGTTGTAGAACGTCAGTACCATCGGTCAGTGTCGTGCAATGTTATCGCATGAGCTGATTGTTTAGTAACTGGTGGTGTTAGTGGACAGTATAGCGTAATTTGTAGTTCCTTGGTCCTTTCTCTTTTGTATAAACTTTCAGTATAATATTATATTATTTTGCTCTGAATGTGATGGTTTCCTTGCTGTACCTTTCTGCACTGCTGATTTTGTCAGTTATAGTTGCTTATTTTTTTAAATCTGGGTGGTCATTCTGCAGTTGCTGTATCTTTTTGCCTCAATTCCGGCAACCCTGTTTTTCCCTTGAAACAAGGCAATGTGGCTGTCCGCAGCTGACCCTGCACTGTGGTTTTGCTGTTGCAAATACGAGCCACGAGAGAGAATCGTGGTCCTTAACTTTACTATATATTTATCATTGGCTCTTCATCCGAGTCCATTATAATTTTATCACCTTCAAAATTCAAAAGCAAAAGTATCTTTTCCACTCAAACTAAACCAGTTATAAGAGTTACCAGCTATAGCAATACATCGCCTATTGTGATCAAATTCTAACTTAATTAAAAGCCACTCAATTGCATACATTATTGACCGTTTATAGTAACTGGTGGTACCTACAGGACGCTTTGGGAAATTGAGATTGTGTAAATGCTGTGTAGTAACGGCAGTGTTGGCGTTTGAAGAAGTGAAATTTGATCACCATAGACGATTATCACTACATGCGATTGGACAGGGGAGTAAAAAAAGTATGAAAGTAATAACTTTACGACTTAGTCATGATGACATTATTATTTGAAACTCGGATGTTGAGCCATAAATAAATGTGGAAAGGAGAATGTCGATTGTTACTGGTCTCGTCATCGTCCAGTAACAGTCGACATTCTTTGTTTCGTTGGGACTGTAGCTTCTGCTCGTTTTCGTTGCGCTTGCCTTCCCCTCTCTGGTATTTCCATAACCTTGAACCTTCCAAGTTGGAAGGCTGTCGGTTAGCGCTACGGAGATGTGTTGAAGCTAGGTGTCGGGACGTCAAATGTCTCAGTACACTTGTCAGTTTTGTGCCTAGTTATTGCACTTTCTGCCTGTATATAGTATCCAGTTACAGTGATGGAGAGTTACTCTTAACTCGTTTCCATATGTCCTCTTCCTTTCCACCATTATTATCATTATTATTATTAAACTCAATCTCGTAGCATGTGCACGCATTGCTTATGTGGAGAGCGACCCCAGAGATGAGGGCGATAACCAGCCGATGCGCTTTATTATTATAAATCAGCACTTGGCCGAAGGCCGGAGATTGGCACCCACCGGGCTAGCATCCAGCAACCAAAGGTGGGGCCATACATCATATGGATATTAACACGCATGCATTCTTCGCTATTGCAGACCAGTTGAGAACACACAACGTATGGAGGATTCATGGAGTGCTGGGCAACCGAATCTGGCATGTGATAATCATTATGTAGGATTGTCCACGCACGAGGTGCAGCCCATGAATTGGGCACCCATGAGATGGGCGGAGTGTGGACGGCTCATATGATAGTATGTATGATAGTCCACGCACAAAGTGCAGCCCATAAACTGGGGCCATGAAATGGACGGAGTGTGGACGGCCCACGCACGAAGTGTGATGCCTGTTAGGGAGCAGGAGTGTGGGTGTGTAATAGCTGGCCCCGGCGGCAATCACACTCACTCCAGTTAAACACTCACGTCGTAGTTTACCAGTAGTTATCAGGAAAGAAATATTATACACACTTGGAATGCAAAGAGAATAGAAAGGTAACAAGAAAGAAGAAAGCAAGGGAACAAAAGTCCGGCAACCGGCAACCATGTTGTAGGTCATTAACCAATCAGCAATCTACTAAAACCGGTCGCCGACGAAATTCTAGAAACATTAGCATAATTAACCAATCACAGTTCACAGCTCTGGAACATTCTGGAACATTAATACTAGCTGCCAATCACAGTTCTCAACAGACAGTCATACGGGTAAAGTGGGGAAATACGGGTTTAGCCATACACGACTCATACATTACTCACGAGCGACTCACTGAAAGGGTAATAACATGCAGATACAAAATACGCAAGGAGAGAAAAAAAATGTAACTAACTGCCCATCTTCGGGTTTGAACCTAGGAATCTGCATCAACACAATCTCTACAAATAAATACTCTTTTACTGCGAAAAATATACTTTATATCAAAATGCAACTCCTACAGGTGTATGGGTGTGGTGGCCAAAGGCCGTGGTAGATTGCCAGATGAGAGGAGATAGCTTGGCCATGGTTGCCCAGCCTCCATGCTAAGTTGTGACATATGTCAATGCACGTGAACGACCCTGTTGTTGCTGTCAGTGAAGTTTGTCAGCACAATCTTAGCAAAGCATATTGCTGTGCTGTTCCAAACAATCGGCAGCTGATCTAAGCAGGTGTGCGGGTTCATGCATCAGTGTGAGTTGTGTGCCCGAGTGGCGGGTTCTTACATACCTCATTGTGTTCTACGATGCGCCTGTACCTCGGCCAGCTTTTGGGTCAGCTGTGCCACATCTGTGTCGGTCGTTCTGATGTGGCACAGGACACTGTTGCTCCACCATCGGCCCATTGCCCTGATAAACCAGTCAGGGGTACCCACCATGGCTGCAGTACAGCTTGTATCGTCATGGCAGCGTGACATCATGGTTTCTCTCATATACATCATGATCTGTACGCCATACGCTGCTCTGTGTGTACTGCACATTATACATGTGTTGTCACTGCCCTTTTGGAGGGTTTGTGCCCCTTTTGGCACGTGTGTGCGGACCGCGTGCGGACTGCGCCGGTTGCGCATGCTTGCATGATTATCGTACATGTTCTTGTTGTTGTGCGCATGCTTGCATACTTATCGTACGCATTCTGGTTGTTTTGGGTGCCTTCTTCTTGAGACTCTCTTTGGAGCAACAACAATAATCTGTTCTCTGAGTGTGGCGTCCGTGTGATATGAGATATCGAGAGTAATCGGAAGGGCTATCGTGCGAGGCATAACACCCCCCGACGACAATTGGCGCCCAGCGTGGGGCTCAAACCCACGAACCTGAGATTAAGAGTCTCATGCTTTACCGACTGAGTCGTCGGGGGGGGGGGGGGGGGGGGTGTTATGCCTCGCACGATAGCCCTTCCGATTACTCTCGATATCTCATATCACACGGACGCCACACTCAGAGAACAGATTATTGTTGTTGCTCCAAAGAGAGTCTCAAGAAGAAGGCACCCAAAACAACCAGAATGCGTACGATAAGTATGCAAGCATGCGCACAACAACAAGAACATGTACGATAATCATGCAAGCATGCGCAACCGGCGCAGTCCGCGCGCGGTCCGCACACACGTGCCAAAAGGGGCACAAACCCTCCAAAAGGGCAGTGACAACAGTACAGTTGCTCAGGGTAATGAAGTTGTACAGAGTCATCATGAAGGCTGAATGCATGCGAGAATAAGACCAAATAGTACAGACCAGCTGGGGTGCACTCCATAGATCAACTTCACTCCACAAATCCCAGACAACTAAACTTTCTTAAGTTCATTAATTTTACATAGAAGTAAAGATAAGGACGCACAACCAGGATCCGTATATGTACACAGTATGGGAATGCATAGAGATAACCGATCCCGGAACATATCGGGTACAACAATCAACTCGTAAGAGTGCAGAGTATAGAGAGAGTTATCCATGTTGGGTAAGGGTAACGGAACCACAACAATCAGGTTCCTGATGGTACTGAGCTAGTTTGCTTTTATTTTCCTCCTCTCCTTCATCAAAACGACTGTTTTGTTTATTTTTTTATATTTTTTACTGTCAATCCTTGTACAGGTCCACCAATGCCAGCAATATCTTTTTCGAAGATTCAATCAAAACAGTTCACTGTCTCTATTACTCCCGCTGCGGGTAACTATAACCCCAAGAAATGGTGTTACGGAGTGGACAGGAAATCTATTTCTGGCATACCCAGTACCTCAGTGAAGAGAGCATCAGACAGTTGCACTGCTGTTATAACTGCTGACCTATTTGCCGCACAGACAGGTACTATCGATAATTTAGAAGAGGATTCAATCTTCCAAGTTGTTGCCTATTTTACAAATGGAAACGATGCAGGTGGCCCCAGTATAACATCTCCAGTTACTACCACCGCTGACGGTAAGTACATTGAATCTTGCACCAGCAAAAAGTACACTGTACTGACTCGTGCACATTGTCTACTGCACATTTCGAAATAATAAGCAAACTGATTTGTCCAGAAAAATTCAAGACGATATGGATAATTTAACCCTTTGACTGCTGATGGGTATTGCGGCCGGAGCAAACTGTGCTGTATGTAGGAAATTATTCGTCCGTATCTACAACTTGAAGTCATGTTGCTGGTGTGTGAGGTCGGCCGGAGAGCACGTTTGGTGGAGGTGGAATAACAGGGCGCCTAGTGTTACGTGACCTGTCGTAGCTATAACCAACAATGCTACAGCTGTGTGAATGGTAACATGCGGAAAACTCGGCCTCCAGCCGAGATTCGAGCTGTGAATTTTGACACCTTGCCCTTCGTACGAATGAAAGGTTCCTTAGTGTTCGACTTCCCCGATTATAAGCCGTATTCAAATATTTGTTGCACCCAGCTTTCAGGTTTGAGCCACAGGTTCAAACAGTGGTCATTTACGGACAGTAAATGTAGCTCGATAGGAAGTCAAAATCTCGTCTTCTGCGCATCTTTCTGTCCATCAGGTCACCAAGCGTCTTGGCTCGAGATCCGCGTGCATGCGCTTCCCACTAGTTGGCCGTGCATGCAGTGTACAGTGTAAACATCATAGATCTACGACTCGCGGCATGCAGCATGCACTAACTGGCCGTGTATGTTGACTGAGATCCGTTTTTTTGGTCGATCAGTACTCACAGTACGCAGTAGACACAGTGCAAGCGCTCGTGTCCACAAGTGCAACTCATTCGAGAATAGAAATCTATACTACTTGCAGCTAGGCATTGGGCTCTAGAGTTCATCCTCATGTTTCTCCTACATGTACAGTCATGTATTTGTAATCGAAAGAGGTAGGCATCAACTGTACCCAGACTGTATCCGCAAAAAAAGAGAACAGGTCTTTTTTTCTTTCAAGGAGGATTGGATTCGCAAACATAGGGTTGCAAGGAGTTCTATGGCCAAGAGCTATGTGTTTCGCAGAGGGGGTTCGAGTCATGTCTGTCGCGATGTCGGTGGTATGAATGAGCTGTAGCAATACTGCAAGACAAAAAAATCGTGTGGAATTGTAACGGATTGCCGGTAGTCCGCAGACGTTTTACTTGTGCAGTTACAGCTAGGTCAATGCAATGGCATCCTTTTTTTGCTTGTGCAGTTACAGCTAGGTCAATGCAATGGCATCCTTTTTTTGCTTGTGCAGTTACAGCTAGGTCAATGCAATGACATCATTTTTTTGCTTGTGCAGTCACAGCTAGGTCAATGCAATGACATCATTTTTTTGCTTGTACAGTTACTGCTAGGTAAGTGCAATGACATCCTTTTTTGCTTGAGCAGTTACAGCTAGGTCAATGCAATGACATCCTTTTTTGCTTGTGCAGTTACAGCTAGGTCAATGCAATGACATCCTTTTTTGCTTGTGCAGTTACAGCTAGGTCAATGCAACGACATCCTTTTTTTGCTTGTGCAGTTACAGCTAGGTCAATGCAACGACATCCTTTTTTTGATTGTGCAGTTACAGCTAGGTCAATGCAATGACGTCCTTTTTTGCTTGTGCAGTTACAGCTAGGTCAATGCAATGACATCCTTTTTTGCTTGAGCAGTTACAGCTAGGTCAATGCAATTGTGGTAGATTTGGTGTCACGTGTTTGTTTCGTCTTGGTCGCTGTGGACACGCGTCATTGGTTGGTGGTGTTGTGCGCATGCGCGAAACTGTGTGAGCTAGTCTTTGGTCTGTCGTCTTGTCAAGATGTAGTCGTTTTCCGTGTTCTTGTTTATTCGTCAATAAAAGAGTGTAAAAAGGCAGTCCCGCAGCTCACGACCCTGAGAAAGAGTGTAAAAAGGCAGTCCAGTGGTGGCGGTTGAGCTGATGCAGTGATGGAGAAGTAGTGTTAGACTTACAACTACAACATTTGGCGCCCAACTATCTCTCGACGCGGAGTTCTGCCTCCGCAGCTCACGACCCTGAGATGTGTGTTGCTCCCGTCACTGCTGGACTGTCCTTGTTTCTTCGTCACCCCTGTCCGTGTTCGAACGTTCGTCGTGGAGCTGTGTCGTGGAGCTGTGTCGTCGTGCTGTGTCGTCGTGCTGTGTCGTCGTCCGGTGTCCCGTCGTCGTCGTCCCGTCGTCGTCGTCTACTCAATTCGATCAAGCTGACGCCCTCCGCTGAGCTGTGTTCAAGTGTCGCTGTGCGTCCGCCGTTTCGTTGTCCTGATACGAGTGGAGTATCAGCTTCGCAGTTGGCTTCCTGCTGCTCCGAAGTCGTGTGCTGGCTGGGAATGCGCCGCCTTTCTTCTCTCCATATCTCTCTTCTTGCTTTTCTTTGTTTTCCGGTGAGTGTTTATGTGTGTGCATGCGTGCGTGCATACGGGAGTTTGTTTGAATTGCTACTTGTCTTGGGAACTGGCGTCTGATCATGGTGAACCACGTTTGGTTCTCCTTGTGGCAGTCCACATCGAAGGCAACGAACGTCCGATCAGGGTGAGCCCCGGTTCATTGCTGGGAGCTAGACTCGCTGCTTGTTTGTCGTTGCCATGTATATATTTTATTTATTTTTGTTTTTTTGGTGACAGTCATGGGTTTGGCTGGCGTTGTGTGGATGGGCAGGGCCCATCGGTTTTTAGGCTTAGGTTTAGCCTGTGTTTTTTTGTGTGTGCGTGGCTAGACAGCAATGCAATGTTTCTTCTCTTCTCTTTAACATTCACCTCTCTTTCTTTCTTCTGGCTTTGGTTGCCCTGTTTTATTCTGGGGAGCTACATGCGTTGGTCCTGTGGCTACTTTTGCTGTTTGCGGTTGCGTCTCTCTGCGTATTGTGTTTTATTTGGTCATACCGAGGACGGTATGTGTTTTTTTGGTCGGGATATTGTGGTAGATTTGGTGTCACATGTTTGTTTCGTCTTGGTCGCTGTGGACACGCGTCATTGGTTGGTGGTGTTGTGCGCATGCGCGAAACTGTGTGAGCTAGTCTTTGGTCTGTCGTCTTGTCAAGATGTAGTCGTTTTCCGTGTTCTTGTTTATTCGTCAATAAAAGAGTGTAAAAAGGCAGTCCAGTGGTGGCGGTTGAGCTGATGCAGTGATGGAGAAGTAGTGTTAGACTTACAACTACAACACAATGACATCCTTTTTTGCTTGTGCAGTTACAGCTAGGTCAATGCAATGTCATCCTTTTTTGCTTGTGCAGTTCCAGCTAGGTCAATGCAATGAAATCCTTTTTTGCTTGGGCAGTTACAGCTAGGTCAATGCAATGACATCCATTTTTGCTTGAGCAGTTACAACTAGGTCAATGCAATGACGTCCTTTTTGCTTGTGCAGTTACAGCTAGGTCAATGCAATGACATCCTTTTTTTGCTTGAGCAGCAGTCATGAAAAAAACATCTGCTGATGGTGGATGCGCTAAACAAAATGGTGTCCAGGGAAAACAGTCAAAATCAACACACACACATACCTCAGACCTCAGACATGCCCATCGCGGAAGCGATGATAGCGAACAGCTATGTTAGACATAGCAACTTGTGCTGGGATTACACCATTCAACAGCTTGGAAGGCTGATGAATTGACCGCCACTATTTTTAGCCTGGTATCCACCACACAGCTGTTTGAAGTGACACATACACACACACACACACACACACACACACACACACACACACACACACACACACACACACACACACACACACACCTGTCCTGTCCTGTCCTGTCCAGTAGAGCCACTACCACTAGGGTCACGTGGGCCCCGGAGGGGCAGCAGAGAGAGAGAAAGAGCACGCCACCCGATGGCGCTCCAGATGCGAGACTAGTCGGAACTGGTGAGAGCAGATACACATATGCGGGAACTTGTCCCGTTCTCTGGCCGTTGGTCGGTGGCAGTGTGTTGAACAGCAATGGTGGTTGCGTCCCTGGGTTGAGCGGAAACAACGATTGCAGGTTCCACAGTGAGCATTGCAGCACCTCTGAGCGGTAGTGTCACTGGTGACAACAGCAGCTGGTTCGGTCGGTACTGGGTACGAGGTAGAAGCGGAGCAACGATGCACAGCCAAGTCTCCGCGGCTCCGGAACCAACGATGACACCGAGGGCACTGACATGCACCTCTCTGCTCCGAAACCGGCTTCTGCCGTTTAGCCGTGCACTTGTGCCTAGCGAGGTCACCCTGACGTGCGAAGTGCCGGGCGCATGTGAAACAAGTCACCAGTGCCGGCACGAGGAGATCCGGGGCATCCAAGGTGTAAGCCAACCTCCAGTCTGGGCGAGAGTCACAGGCCATTCTTTACCAGTCCGCTTCAAGGTCTCGTGAGCGGAGGTCCTTTACAGTCCAGTTTTTCCACCGCCGACGTGGGCCATGTGCCGGGCGACAAGATGGCAGAGTGCCGAACAGCAACTGTTTGGGCAATCGCACGTCGTCTATGCGGGCGACATGGCCTAGCCACTCGAGGAGCCGATGCTGAACCTTGGTGGCGATGGTTTCAGAGTCACCCCACCACTCAAGCAGCTGGCTGTTTGATATGTGGTCATCCCAGCAACGATGGCGTGTGATACCCAATATCGACCGCACGCATCGCATGTGGAAAACAGACACACACACACACACACACACACACACACACACACACACACACACACACACACACACACACACACACACACACACACACACACACACACACACACACACACACACACACACACACACACACACACACACACACACACACACACACACACACTGTACACACACACGCATATGCGCACACTCTCAGGTACCCGAGAGCACCTGCTCCCTCTGATGTTGGAGGGATAGATAGGCCTTTTGCGCAAAAAAAGAACATGCTCAATATGGCGTCCTCAAATCGAATGTATACAAGGGCAGCTAGCTACGTCAAATCCGTAGTCACTCAGCAGAAATGATAGAAAGATTTTGTAAACGTGAAAAATATCGCGGAACGATCGCAGCCCACATCTCGAAAGAAAAGGTTCAACTATGAAAAATACTGCAATGCGCGGCACCACATCCCTCCGCCGGTAGCTCCAGGTGGCACTGTGGCATCCACCATCGAGGCACACACATGCCGGACCAAGCCACCGCGGCTTCTCAGCCGCCGCCCACACCGCCCGCACTGACTGGCGCCCCGCTGCTCAGACACAGGCCGCGCACGCTCCTCCAGACACTTATGCCGAGCCATGTCTCCTTTCCGTGCAAAATCCCGTCCGCATACCGTACACACACACACACACACACACACACACACACACACACACACACACACACACACACACACACATACACACACACACACACACACACACACACACACACACACTGTACACACACACACACTGTACACACACAAACACACACACACACACACACACACACACACTCACACTGTACACACACACGTATGCGCATGTACACACACATGCGCACGCTCTCAGGTACCCGAGAGCACCTGCTCCCTCTGATGTTGGAGGGATAGATAGGCCTTTTGCGCAAAAAAAGAACATGCCCAATATGGCGGCCTCGAATCGAATGCATGCAAGGCCAGCTAGTTATTTCAAATCCGTAGTCACTCAACAAACATGAGAATGATTTTGTAAACGTGGAAAATATCGCGGAATGATCGAAGCCCACATCTCAAAAGAAAAGGTTCAACTGTGAAAAATACTGCAACAGAGAGAGGTTGTTACTTAGGATAGATATAACATTAGAGAATGCAGACACAACAAAGCCGAATCAGTCGCATAGAACGACAGAGCAGCAGCTATCAAACGCTACAAGCAGATAAACGGCAGAAGAAGAGGCAAACAAAATTCTGATAAGGTAAGGTGAAAAGAATGAGTGTCAAAGAACACTAGCCAATGACACAGTGAGTATCACAATGTCACTTGCTACAATTCCATATCGTCATGCAGATTATTTTGTCACGAAATACCCCTACTATGCTGCAACATACTGACCTGTCGAAAAGGAACTTTTTAAATATCAGGGGCGTCACACACGGTACGACCACTACGACCATGGTCGTACCACTTTTCGTCCAGGATGGTCCACCCAATTCATCCAAAAAAGCGATAAAAAAATTCAAGGATCTTCGGACTTGTACAAAAGTCAAAACATCGTAACTACAACTAAAAGTCGCTCTAAAAGTCACGGCACGAAGCACGGCATTCCTGTACATGTGTACTATACTCTAGCAGTGTACTCGTACAGTGAGAAGATGGTCACAGCACTCGCCCATATGTACAGATTGTACATGTCGGTGTGCTAAACAAGGCAGATCGCGCCTTGCTCGTAGGCCGGATGTGACCAGTGACATGTCACACCTCGTAGCACAACGCGAAGTGTTGCAAGACTAGCGTAAATCCACTAGTACTAATCACATTATAGTACTTAGCACCTCACAGTCACACCACAACTGCGCACAAGGAGCACGCCGTAGATCTATGTACACAGTTTGCGAAGCCAAATCGTTACATGTATAATGTTGTGATTGAGGCGGACTTACCGTCACACTTGGCTTCGTAGCTGCAGGGTAGTTTCAATGGCGGCGGAATCCGCTGGACCAGAGATTGCGGATAAGCCCAATCAGCCCAGGGATTTCCAGTTTCCGAAGCGCAGCTATGGAGTAGCGACTGTTCTGTGGCGGTCCTTCCAGCCACAATGGTTTGATGTTTTTCCCTGGTTGCCCTGGGACTCCGCAAGCGAGCGAGCGTTTTGCCACACTTGCGTCAGAGCGTCGAGGCGAGGCCTTATTTCCTCCAGAACCGTGGAGCAAGCCTTCGTGACAACAGGCTATCAGAATTGGAAGGAGGCAAGGCGCTTGATGTCGAAACATGCCGAGTCGCGCGCCACAAGGAAGCGGTCGATCGCCTGCTGACAATCCCGGAAAATGTCGGCGATGTTGGTGAGCGCTTGGACTCCCAGTTTACTGCCCAGCGGAAGGAGAATCATGCTTGTCTGCTGCAAGTGCTCCGATCGTGCGCTTTCTCGCACGACAGGGACTCGCTTTGCGTGGAAGCTCCAGGTCGGGAGGTGGAGAGTGTGACGGTAATTTTCTGCAGGTCCTGGCTCTACTGTCGGACAATGATGAGAGTCAAGTGCGCTGGCTGAACCGTCGGACTGACAAGTACACTAGTGCTGCCATTCAGAATGAAATACTTCAGGTAAGAATCAGACAAATGACTGCATGTTAATGATGTTATGCTATTGGATACATTCTTCAGAGCAATAATTGTGTTGCCAACTTCGATGTTTCAGACAAATGACTGCATGTTAATGATATGCTATTGGATATTATTATTATTCAGACTCAGAGCAATAATTGTGTTGCCACCTTCGATGTACTTCGAAAATAGCGAACAATAAACACTGTGGCATTTTCGTGATAGCAATGGCTTATCACTTATCAGCTATTGTTCCATTTCAGTGAATATATTGCAGCTGACTAATATTCACACAAACTTATTATTGTTGTATTGGCCTTTTGCTTGCCTCTCCTAGGTGATGGCCCATCGTTTGCTTCGTCAGTTGTCACTCCGGATTCGGAACGAGATCTTTGCGATCATGGTTGATGAGACAACTGACTGCTCCACCGTGGAGCAATGTGTTGTAGTTGTCCGTTGGGTAGACGACAATCTCGAAGCCCAAGAGGATTTCCTTGGATTTTATGCAATCCACACAGCCAACGCTTCAACTGTTGTCCAGGTAAATGCTGTCACTTGATGTTTAAAATCTTTTTGATAGAGCACTGTATTGACAATGTACTGTGCAAAAATTACATTTCAGGGATTTGAGTATTTTAATATGGTAGCAGTCAGTGTGAATGATTTTGCAATGTATTTGCACAGCGTGCCATTTACTTGCAGTCCCACAACATTGTTTTGATCTGGGTGTTTTGGTCTTGGTTTGTTCCTCATTGCACAGGTAATAAAAGACAGCATTATTCGCATGGGCATGTCACTCGCCAACTGCAGAGGCCAATGCTATGATGGTGCTGCAGTTATGAAGGGCACAAGGAATGGTGTGGCAAAACAGATCCAGGACGAGCAACCCAAAGCGATCTTCACGCATTGCTATGGACATTCGTTGAATCTGGCCTGCCAGGACATGGTGAGAGACGTGAAGGTGGTGAAGGATGCGCTAGACACTACCTTCGAGCTGAGCAAGCTACTCAAGTACTCGGCTAAGCGGACTGCTGAGTTTTCGAAGTTAAAAGAAGAGATAGCACCTGATGAGCCTGGTTTTCGAACCCTGTGCCCGACTCGTTGGACTGTCCGTGCAGCATCATTGCAGAGTGTCCTGGCAAACTATGAAGTAATCCAGGCCAGTCTTGAGAGATTTACGGAGTTGGCGAAGTACGACCACGAGATGTCAGCCAAGTGTAACGGAGTCGGCCATCAGCTAGCCACTTTCGAGTTTCTGTTTGGAACCTGCCTCGGTCACCTAGTTCTGCGTCTTGCTGACAACCTCAGTGTGGCGCTCCAACAGAAGTCACTCTCAGCAGCAGATGGGCAAAGGATGGCTTCGCAGACTGTAAAGGCGTTACAGAAGCTTCGATCCGAAGAGGAATTTCAGAAGTTCTGGGCCGATGTTCTCCTCAAACAGTCTGCTGTGGATGTCAGTGAGCCGCAGCTGCCACGTCGCCGCAAAACCCCTGCTCGCCTTCAGACGGGCACCTCCAGTCCTCACTTCCCAGCTACAGTAGAGGACCTCTATCGTCCGATGTTCTTTTCGGCACTGGACACCATCATAGCAGCTATCGGTGACCGGTTTGACCAGCCTGGTTTGCAGCATTACCAGAACCTAGAGCAACTTCTGCTGAAGGCTGCAGCTGGTTCTGCCTACAAGGACGAGAAGGAGCATGTTGCTAAGCTTTGGGGCGATGACATCAATATGTCATTGCTGGAGTCGCAGCTCGCTATCCTGGCGTCTTACTTCACCTCCAAGGAAGTGTCTCTTGCTCGTATCGCAGAGTACGTACAGGCCCTGCCCAACAAGCACTTCCTAAGTGAAGTTGTAGCCCTGCTTAGGCTAATTCTGGTTGCTCCTGCAACCAATGCCACTAGCGAGAGATCTTTCTCTACCTTGCGCCGCTTGAAGACCTACCTACGGTCCACAATGAGCCAGGAGAGGTTGAATCACTGTGCCATCCTCACCACCATGAAAGAGGAGTGTGATGCCGTTGACCTGAAGGATATTGGCAATGACTTTGCCTCCTCCAACCAGCACCGCATTGATTTGTTTGGCAAATTCTAAATCTTGCGTCTGGCCAATGTTGATGCCGCTTAGAACTATTGTTCCGTATTTTTAATTATTTGTCGGATCAAGTGTCTTTGCTGATATTCTGAATTAAAGTTTCCCGTGTGATACATGTGCATATTGAGTGTAAGTGGGGTTGTCGAATAAGTGCTCGGGAAACCCTCGTTTGCGGAAACCCTCGTTTGCGGCTGCAGAGCGCCAAAACGTGCCCTATTGCCCAAAAAATCCCAAATTTTTTCCGGGGGACACCCCCCGACCCCCGGTCGTACCACTCCAAACTGCCCTGTGACGCCCCTGAATATACCTCTACACCACAAATGTTCTCCTTTCGTTTTTTTGCACAGATCCAAAAACAGTAATGTCAGTCACTGTGAACCCAAACCCAACTTCTCTGGTGGTAATGTGGACTCCTCTGACTAACACACAGTGGAATGCAGCGGGTACTAGAGAGTACGTCGTTTCATGTCCGAGATCATCATCATTAGCACCAGCCATAGCAACAGTACAAGCTACTGATTCTAACGGTGATCTGATCCCTACCTCTTTAACTGCAACGGTAATGAGTCTAACCCATGCTACAACGTACACATGCACTGTAACAGCCCGCGCAAGCTACACAACACCAACCAAGAGTTTCTCGAGCACGGAGACTTTTGTGGGTGCTACCACTCAAACACGTAAGTACACATGGTGGCCTTTAGTTTGGTACAGGCCATTACAGAATGTTGTGTGTGTGTTGTGCCCTACAGTACCTCATGCATAATCAGCATCCTCATTCTGTTATAGATAAACATGTTGGTGGCCAGTACTGACGACAGGAACCACTCTCAAACATATCGGGCAGTGTTTTCGAATGTCAGAGAAAGTTGGTAATCGCTTATACATTGTGTGCAAGTAGGTGGGTAGGTAAGTAAGTAGGTGTGTGTGTGCGAGTGCATGCGTGTGTGCGTGCATGCGTACATGTGTGTGGAAGCAGTCCCTCAAGAGTGGGTGTGTAGCAACCTGGTCTCCATCCCGAAGAAGGGCAACCTTGCTCAATGCGATGATTGGCGGGGCCTTGCTCTAATGGAGGTCCATGCTGCCATGATTCAGCGCCGTTTGCAGTTATTGGCCGAGACCATCCTCCCCGACTCCCCGTGCGGGTATATTAAAGGTTGATCGGGCCCCGATATGGTTTTCACCGTTCAGCAGGTCGCAGAGAAGCTCTATTATTATTATATTATTATTTAGAAAGGAAAAGGACGTAAGGATACGAGTTCAGAGGAACTCTCCATCACTGTAACTGGATACTATATACAGTCAGAAAGTGCAATAACTAGGCACACAACTGACAAGAGTACTGAGACATTCGACGTCCTGACACCTAGCTTCAACACATCTCCGTAGCGCTAACCGACAGCCTTCCAACTTGGAAGGTTCAAGGTTATGGAAAGACCAAAGAGGGGAAGGCAAGCGCAACGAAAACGAGCAAAAGCTACAGTCCCAACGGAACAAAGAATGTTGATTGTTACTGGACGATGACGAGACCAGTACGATATTTGACAAAGCGGTCTAACTACAATTCGAAGCAGCAAAGCAGCACACCACCCAAAAGGTGGGTCATAAATATCAAAGATAAGTAAAGAAAGGGGAAGCTTAGCGAAAACGAATTGTACAAGTCGAAAGCCAAACTCCTACAGTACTCCTCTTGCATGACAATGTGATGGACTAGTTGACTACAAAACAAGTTGTTTCACGACGTACGTTTCGCTGTATGGTTCGTGACGGCTCATCAGGTGTGCAATTTGAAACTCGGATGTTGAGCCATAAATAAATGTAGAAAGGAAAAGGACATAAGGATACGAGTTAAGACGAATGTCTCAGTACTCTTGTCAGTTGTGTGCCTAGCTATTGCACTTTCTGACTGTATATAGTATCCAGTTACAGTGATGGAGAGTTACTCTTAACTCATATTATTATTTATTCTTCTTTTACAGGGAATTCCCAACAGGCGTCAGCGCCTTTTTACAGGGCACTCTAGGTATAATTTGATGGATGAGCGAAATTCAGCTGGTGAGCTAGACATGCGGCAAGCCGGTGGAAGTGTATTCCACCTGGCAGCGCCCAAATAAGAAATTGCACTAAAGCCATATCGGGTGTTAGCGGGGGGGGGGGGGGGGGCAGAACAAGAGCAGCAGAGACTTGGCCATGGGTGGTGGCTGCAGTGCGAGCACCATGGGCGCGCAAAGTAAAGCGGTCTCGCAGAAGAGCACTAGCAAGTCCATTCAGGCAGGGGTAAACAAATACATAGGTTTTGAAGTTGAGGCGTTTCTCAAGGGCGTACAAGTTAGTATGACTGTATAGAAGAGTGGTGGGAGTCATTCTATCCAACGAAACTATTCTCTTTAATGCTACGCGGCTGGCAGTAAGAAGCTTGTCATATAGGGTTTGTGATAATCAATGCATATATGCAGTGCTGACAAACTCAAATGTGGACTGAATGATCGATAAATAGAAAAGTCGTTTGCCAAAAATGCTGATATTCTGCTTTGCATGGACAAGTGCTCCGACCTTCTTATTGACATTTGCACATACTGCATCCACTTGGGTTGAGAAAGACAGATGTTCGTCAACCAGTATTCCTAAGTACCGAGTGTAAGCAGATGGGACTATGGAAGTGCCCCGGCAGTTGACTGCGGTGCCAGGTGGCAGCTCCATGCCCGGTCGCCGGAGCAGGACAAACTGAGTCTTGGACGGGTTTAACACCAGTCCCTTCTGGTCTAGGTAGCGATCCAGAGCAGCAAGGTCAGCACTCAGCTGGGTTGTGATGATCTGGATGGACTTGTGCCTGATATAGAGTGTGATCAGTCAGGGAGATGTCCTATCTAGGACATCGCACTCTGAATGAGTCTGATTGGTTACCTGTCCCAGAGTTGTTATGGAAGCGTCGGTCGCGCACATGCGATGAAAAGAAGTGCTGCGTGAGCATTTCTGAATGTATGTGGAGGATGCACGATCGTAATGGCGATGGATTTCTTTCCGAATTGGTCAAGTTTGAGGGAATAGGCGGAGAATATCAGACATCGGCGGGGATTGAGGTAGTGTATATTCAATTCTCCATCGAATACCCGACCGAATGGCCGTTTTCGTTTGGGGATTTCATGTGGGGTTTCTCGTAGCCACGCGGCGCTTCTTTGGAAACGATTGGTTCTAATTTTGAATGCTTTGCCTTTGGACTGTTTCTTCACACCCCGTGCGTTCATTTCGCCCCATACCTGGCCATGCAGAGGAGGAAGACGAGGCAGCAGGCGCTAGCCCCTTAAATTACTGCCTGGAAGATATTATTTGGCCAAAGCTTGCTGTTGGCGTTTTTGATTTCTTGGATACGACAGCTCTTGGCTAAAACTTGGACGGTCTTTCTTGGATATCAACCCAGGATGTAGTGGTCATGGACGTATCGCCATCGCTTTCAGCCAGATCCTTCTGCTGCCTGAAACCAATGGCGAAAGTAAAAACTTTATCGCAGCAGCTACTGCTCTGCTGAAAGTGCGAACACAAATTGCTTCGTCAATCCTCTTGTGCACTTGCAATTTTCAATGCGACCAAAACGATTCGCTTGCCGGTTCCTTTGTCCAGGCGTACTCTGCAAGGATGAAAATAGAATTCGTGAAGGCAAGAGGCAAGATACGAATCTCGACTCGCTTGAGGCAAGCTGCCAGGAGAACGACAACTAATAATTGTTACTTTTGAGACGAAAGGCCTTCGTTGCGTTTGTTTTGAGTGCGACATGTTCATCTTCCTCGGCCGCGACACAAAGTTTTGAGTCACGTGTCACGATTACTATGGGAACAGCATAGTATGTATGCTGGGGCATGCTGGGTTCCGTGATGTCCTATCTAGGACATCACCAGGACTGGTGATATCATCGGCATAAAGTTGATTCAATGCATGTTGGAAGCACTGTGGTGCATCACGGGTGTGAATGCAAAATAGCAATGGGCCGAGCACGGAGCCTTGTGGGACGCCTCTTGTGCAAGGGCGGGCCCTACCTAGCTGTTGTCCTACTCTTACTCGCTGGACGCGTCTGGTCAGGTAGCTTGCAAACCAAGCAAGTGCAGTGTCGGCAATAACAAGCATCTTCAACTCGTCAATGAGCTCTTGATGCTTAACTCGGTCAAAACTTTGCTCATATCTGCAAACACTATGCCGCAGTACTCGTTGTTATCAAGGGCTTTGAACCATTCGTCGACCACTAGCGCTAGGCAGTCCTCACACGAGCTGTTGGTACGGTAGGCAAATTGATTGCCAGGCACGTACATGATGTTGTGTAACTTAAAGAATGCAATCAGCTGCTCTAAGACAACTCGTTCTAATATCTTGCTGCATATGGGCAATAATGAGACTGGTATGTAATTAGTAGAGCTTTCTGCATCGCCTGATTTGAAAACTGGGCTGACCGTGGCATTCTTGAAAATATCTGGTACGCACCCTGTGCTCAGAGATTTATTGATAATATCAGTGAGAGAAACTGCTATGGAATCATGACCATGCTTCAGCACGGCTGGTGAGACGTTGTCAGAGCCAGGTGACTTACTTGTGTTTGTTGCATTGAGCAGTGTGGTGATGTGCGCCACAGTTACGGGTCGAAAATGGGACAGTCGAGCAGCAGTAGTTGGCTGTTGGGTGGCTGGGCGTAAACATATGTCAGCAGGCCGGCTTGGATCGTGCACTATGTTAGCAAATGTCTCTGTCAGACTACTGAGAGATGCAATTGGCTGATTTCTTACTTTCCGCCTGCCAGACAGACTGTTAAGAAGAGCCCACTGACCTCTAGGATTTCGTCGGAGTGCCGAGAACTGGTGCATCAGGAAACTGGATTTCAGTCTCTACTCAAAAGCGTCCCCTCGCGCCTGACAGGACGATACTGTCGCTTAAGAACCATATTCCCAGGCTGCGAAAGGACTCTACGATGCAGAGTAGTTCTGCGCTGCAGCAGTTTTCGTAACTCTGGTGTTGCCCACGGTTGAGGCTTAGGTTTGGGACAGAGGGGTAGTCTAACTTGTTTAGATGGAGCATGCGTATCAGTAACAGCAGCGATAGACGTTAGAAGATGGCAAGTTTGACTGTCCAATGTTGAAAATGAGGATGAGTCCTCGAGCATATCATTCAGGTCAGCATTAAATTGAGAGTAGTTGATAGTAGCTATTCCTGGTTTTCTCACAACCTTAGTTCTCTGGGTTGCTCGGGGCTTCCATTCCGGTATTACAATATCGAGGCGGACTAGGTGGTGATCAGTAAGATCTGACATGGGAATGATCATTGGATTGGGCAATGGAAAGGTAGTGTTCAACAGAGCCAGGTCAAGACACGTGTTTGACGGCGCTCTAGTTGGTGCGTGGACAATGTTCTGCAGCTGGTGTTCTGCACAAAGCTTAAGTAGATGATGATTATGATGTAGAGTCTGTTGTAAGATGTCCGTGTTCAAATCTCCCGGAATTAGCAGGTCAGAGCTGTCCACGAAAATGCAATCCAACTAGGCACTGTACTGCTCCCAGTATTCTGTACCAGAGCTCGGTGGGCGGTAGACTGAACTCACGAGGAGCTCACACGCATCTATGAACATCGGTGCAAGGGTTTGTTTAGTCTTCGTAGAACTCCGTGAGGTGTCCCTGAGCGACTCATCAACATCATACTCCCT